AATATCAAAAGAAAATTTCAGATTTCTTTAATCAGAGGTAATCTTCGGAATAGCTGAACCTATTTTGAAGGGTAGGTAACTAATACTGGCGGAACATTTTATAACCTACTTGTTCCAATTTTTTTTTTAAATATTTGCGTTCCGTTACGACCACTAATTTTTTGCAACCTACATCATAAAATGCAACATTAGAAGTTTTGAAAATAAAACTATTTCTGCTAATAAAATACGGAAGCCTGAATGCTTTTTAATATTCATTAGCCCGAACTAGGTTAGATATTTCTGAAGCCGTGAAAATCAATATCGTTTTATACCTTGGCTTGCTATTGTTACTAATAAAAATAATCCGCAACCCAGCGAACTCAAATTATATATTCTTGCCATCTATACTCTATACTATAATAATAAAGCGTAAACACACACTTCTTTGTTGCCTATGATGTCAGCAATTACAGCATATTTTTGAGTAATTCTTCTTTTAATAAAAAGCCCTACACTTACGTCACGCTTTAGACCATGTATTTTAACGCCATTAACCTTAGGGGGTAAATATTTTGGATAAAAACCCTAATGTGAGAAAGAGGCTATAAGTTGCTGCCAACATCAAGGAAGCAAGTTTGTCATGTCATTTTGACATTTGCAATTGATAATTTGACAAATGTAAACAATAAAATAAAATTTTCATTATTTCATGCGGATGAAGTCGCACGGAAAGAACAGCTAGTAATACATATAAACAATGAAAAATGCCCACCAACTACCCCTCCCTGCCCGAGCGACACCAATAGTATGAGATTAACGTTAATAAATGATAATTAAATAATATCCAAAACAACATACATTTCCGCTTCCGTACAACGTATTAATAACCTTGAATTCTGATCTATTAGTTAAAATTAATTTTACCACCGGAAATAACCGGTAGTAAATGAAGGACACATGTCTTCTTCCTATACTGGAATCTTGGATTTTGGTAATATTCTACGCCCACAGACGAAATTGTTAGAACAGAAAATTTAAATTTAAATTTCGGTTCTCATAAGAATTTGATACTCTAGTCATCAAGGATTCTTATCTCGAAATTAATAACAATTCTATTTCTTTAAACAGTCTTAGTTTTATTAACCTTATGCATTCCCGGTATATTTTTTTCGAATTGATTATAGCCGTTGGAAATGGATATTGGACTATTATTTTTGAGATAACTCTATTAATCTTTTGGCATCAGCCCAATTTTAAGTTACATTAATATACGGAATTTATCTATTTTCCCCACATAGCGACGCTCATGAACTATATTCGTTATCTATGAAACACTAAAAGCCCACGTCATCATGGCGACTGATTTATAGTTTTTTTTTATAGTTACAATTGGAGTTCCTTGTTCAAAATGCAAGTTTGAATTTGGTAAACCATGAATACGCCGCATATTTCGACCTAAAAACTCTTAAATTCCAAGACATTTCGGGAAAAATAATCGCGCAAGTTACTATATATTTAGTTATCGATATACAATTTAATTAAATTCTGTTTCTCAATTTCCAAAATTTAAAACTTTCCAGATATAAAATTATTACAGTAATGGCCGCCATGTATTTCAAGTGAGGTTTGAATTTAGGCGTTAGGTTGGAGTTATTTTACATACGTGTTTTAATAAGATTTTATTATTACATTTTCTTATTCACATAACAAGCACACTTCTCAAGGATCACAGATTAATATTAACATTTCCTTCCGCGGTTAAAGTTGTTTGCGAAATATTTAACCTCAAAACTAAAGTTATGCAATAGGTTACGCGTTAAATCAACGCAACTTTTAATATTTACTTCCTACTTCCTAAATGATATCATCCCAAACATTTAAAAAGAAAATTAAACATTAGTAATACAAATAAAGATTTAATTTAATACTTTTTATGCTGTTTCATTCGTTAAGGCTCGAACAGTCTAGACATTTCATAAGTGTTTAAAACCTGAGTGGCGAAAACATAGAAGTGCTCTTATATTCAACTAATACGCCCTTGGTTAGTTTTAATCACAGAAAGGGAAAATATTTAAACAAATGTAACGAAGAATTAATACACATTTGTGACAATACCATTGCTCTAAAAACCCATTTAAATTTAACCGTTCTAATACCACAACTGTAAAATTTCAGCACAGTTGCACGCGACTTTGCGACATTTTAATCGATTCATGTTCTATTTCATACATTGATTCTAAGCTTTCCTCGCGGTAGAAAGAACCTTGGATACTATTTAAATTTACACGAAAGGTCTACTAAAAACAGTGTATAGATTCTAGAGTGCAGCAGCCCCATAAGAATGGCAACAAAGAGAAATGGACTGTAATACTGAGAGTTTTAAAACCAAAATCGATCTACATTGCTGAGGCAGGAATTATTTCTCATTTCGTCATAATTTGTTCCAAATAGATAAAATGTTCAAGAATAAGATATCTTATCATTAACATTGTCAATATTCACTCTTAATCAATTGCATTAAGGTCTATAATTGAATGTATTTTAATAATGTTGTTCATTTCCTCGTTAAAACATAATGTTTACACAATACATGCATTTATCTGAGATCAAAACCATTAAAAATATTAATTTTACCAAGGTCATACCAAGGTGACCCAAGTGGTCAAACCCTTATCAACTTTGGAACCATTAAGTGACAAGTCGAGCCTGATTGATGTCTGTGAAGGAACATTTTCAATCAATATTCTTTTAAACAAAAACAGCAAATTTAGACATTTTTCACTGAACTTTATTTTTTTCAATTAAACTCTTTTTATGTTAGAACTACCTTTTATCGTGAGGATTTTTTATTTTGCACGTGTTTAGAATCGTTATAATCTACAATTTATTCTTATCTAATCTGAATAAGTATAGAATAAAACCGTCGTTTCGTCATTATAAATAAACATAAGACGATTAGTGAGCTTTTTTATCTAATAAATGATTTTTGGTCAGGTTTATATGTTAGGTAAACGACTGAAGATAGAAGATGAATTTGATATAACTTATCAGAAGAAAGCAGCTTCAAAATTGACAATAATAAAAGCCCTGTATTGGCTTTTTTTTAACAGCTTAGATTTTTAATTTAAATGAAAATGTACTAAAAGCATTTCACATCACTAAAGCTGGGTTTCTGAAGTTCCATTTATTTTGTCACTAGCTTTCGCCCGCGACTCTGTCCGCGTGGAAATAAGTAAGTAGCCTATGTATTCTTCCAGACTATCGTCTACATCTATGCCAAATTTAATCGAGATCCGTTCAGCCATTTAGGGTCAAACTCAAACATCCATCTAAACTTTCGCATTTATAATATTAGTTAGATTACCTATTGATTCTTTAGCGTTAAATTGACCTACGTTTCAACGAAGTAAAACTTAAGTAGTTATAAAGTTATCGAATCAAAAATACTAACGATTAGTTCAACGTAGCTGGGAAACCGGTCATAAGGGACTTATATTTATAGATATTTTCGCATCGTCAACGTCAGAGGGTGGCAGGCAAGGTCGTAGGAAATCGATCGATACTTGGTACCATAGGCTTACAACGCGGTAATTGCAACACTAGTATATGCCATCCGGCTATTGCATGATAAACGATTAAACTGCATGACCTGGTTTTGATTACAAGTTTTAAGTTGGCATACTAAAAAATTAACCAACAGAAAATTCAGTCATTTTAAATGTAGGTAGATTGAGAAAAGTATTGTAATTGAAATTGCATGCATTTTTTTTTTCTTATACTAGAAGTACTACTGGCACACTATAAACATAAACGATAATAAACATTCAAAAATAATTAAACACATGGATAAATTCTTATTCTTTATTGCAATATCATATTTTCATCTTTAAAAAAGAAAACAATTAACAAATATTAAGCAAACATTCAAAACAGATAATTACATTGTTTTAATGACAACAAACAGAAGTCTTGTTTTTACTGTCATGTTATTTTCAATTCATTTTAATGACATATCTATTGTACATCATAATCAAACCATTAAAATCTTGTTGGAATTGATTGAAGACAAAAATGATGAACAATAAATTGAAAATTCCAGTAAATTTGTGACATTGTCTTCCATTGCCAGTTGAATCCAAAACACAATTGTACCAACATACTGAATTTTGATATGCCAATATTACAACAATTACATTTAATGCTAAGAAAAAAATCAAAATCAATGTATCTAGATTAAGTGCAAAAAGAAAACATAAATCTAATTTAAATCTAATCTTTTTAATGCAATGAAAATAGTAATTCCTTTCTATTTATATCAATACATTGTATCTCTGTGTTCAATTCATAAATAAGTACCATCACAATTTTATCCATTTTTCTCGTAAAATATTAATTATTGAACACTTATAATTTAGAATATACTTTTTAATTTTACTTTTAATACTAATACAGACCATAGAACAATGTCAGTTGAACATCACATTAAGAATGTTTGCATCAAAATTTACTGTAAATAAAAATTTCAACACATCGACAGATTATTCCATCAATGTGGCGGAATGTATAAAAAAACTAATATTATTGTATAAAAATTGCTTACTGTTCATTAAATTACATTAAAAATTACTTAGTATCATTTGTAATTATTAGTAGAGTGCAAAATAATCATTAAAAAATTGGATGAAAAATCAAAAAGGATGACATTTCAACAGAATCAAACTAGTAAAAATTACACAATAGACAATGCAGATGACATAATTGATGCTAGGATTGTCTATACAAATTAGTGTTGGCATGACATCATAATTCAGTGATACCAATTATTCTGCAGACATTTTACGATTTCAAAAAATGTATTAAAGGCTGAAATAAGTTCTTTTCAATACAAGTCAAGGATTTAAAAGAAAATGTTCACATTTCAATAATAAATAGTTAATTTGAATAATTAGTCTGAAATAACATTTAAGATTTATAAAATTCAACATTTTCCAATGTAGGAAACAAATTGAAAAGTTTTGAGTGTAATTTAAATAGATAGTAACTAGAAAAAAACAATTAAGTACTATATGTTAATAAAAATCTTTATAAAATAAGAGAGGAACAAAATATGTGGTCTGAATTAGTGTGCAAATCTATAAAAGAGGATTCCAACTAATATAACCTACTTTCTTTCTAAAATAAACAAATAAATAAAAAGTTGGATATTTTGCTAAGTCTTATACAACCCCAAATTTGCCCATGGTCTTTGATTCATTTCAAAACATCAAACCAACAGTTTCACTGCTTTTAAAGTGTGCATTACTTTTCCCAACTACCCAGATAATAAATAAGAAAATTTAAACATAAACAAGTGTACATTGAAAAAGTATAAAAGTAATTTAGTGTTGTGAAAAAAGGACAATGAAACTATTGATTATCTGTATTCTACTTAAACATTATCTATGGTCTACTATCACAATTGGTGAGGTACGGGGCTAGAATGCAATAGATGAGGGGGGCATTGAACATTCTCCAACTGTCACACGGTATGATGCTAGCTCACTGATACCATGGTAATGTACAAAAGCTGCCACAATGACCAGCACATGAAAAATTTGGTGAGACTGGAACCAAATGTCACATTTGCCAGGGAACCAACGTTCTGGCACTCTCAATGCATAAAACATTGCTCCTAGAATGTAGAGCAAGCCCATAAGGACCAGCCATCCTAAAGATGCCTTACTGACCTGGCTGAACCAACCTTCTGTTATTCCATAGTGAATTGCTGGCACAATCCCTGAAAGGCCAAAGCCCATGAACACTCCTGCTCTCAGAGGTCTCAAGCGGGGTTCAGAGAATCTATCCCATAATGAAACTATAATAGACAGTACTCCTAACACAACCACAACAGATAAGTAAATGATTTTCGGTCTGTAATGACAGTAGAAACTATAGTACAGCCATGGAACAAATGAACCCATAATCAGCAATGCTATCCCACAGTAGTCCAGCTTGGAGAACAACTTGCCCACCATCTCCGAGTGACAGTACAAAGTGTGATATGCAAACGAAAAACCCAAACACACTATAGCACCAATAAAGAACACACCAAAGATCATTTTCTCTTGCATCTGTATCTCTATGGACGGGCGTGTAAGGAAATATATTGCAACGCCAATGAACGCTACACATCCGAGCAGGTGGGTCCAAATGTTGCCGGTTTCGGTGTGGATACGGAAAATCGACGCAAAACATGCACTGAAGGAGGGTAGCGGCGGTCGGTGTCCTTTGTGCAAATAGTCGTTGTCCTGAAGCCACCGCGGTAAATGACGGAAGTGGCACACGTTCCACGAGGCTTCCCACACCTTGCGAACAAACTCCTCAGCTTGCTCCGCCGCATTGTGCGCTAGAGCTCCGAGATCAATTTCGTCCGATAGCACGCCAGCTTTTAAAACTTCAGCCATTTCCGCGTCTAACAGATGTTGATCTTCGGGCGTAGACGGCAATGGACATCCTTCTTCTTCCTCGGCGAGTACCTCGTCGAGCTCGTCCATTTGAGAAGCGAGACTCTCGGCCTCGGGGTCCCATCCTTGCCGTCGCCGTAAGCCATCCGACGAAGCGCTGTGGGACCCCGTGTCAGAGTCCACTTCCCACATCTTTGCGTCGTACGCAATCGGCTATGCGAAGAGCTTTCGCATCCGATACGACCTTCGTAAGCGAAGGAACAGTTATTCGGTTCGAGTGAAATCCAGTTACGTCACGGAACACAAACACACAATGTCTTTTGTGTTTTCAACAAACGGATTATAAAAAATCTAACAGTAGGAATTCACTTATACGAATATAAATTTTATAGCAAAAAATCGTAACGTTACGGTAAAACAACAATCAATTTAGACCAGCTGGAAAGAACTGTCGAAGAGTCGACCAAAAGCAAAAGCAATCACCATGTTCGTTCCTATTCCTACATATATCTGTCTCTCTCAAACAAACGCATTTGGATTGGAGTATTTTTGCAATCCTTTGTCGTGGCACCACATCATAGTGACGTACCTTTATCAACGCAAATTGACGAGGCAGTTATAAACTTTTCAACTGAATCAACTAATAAATATTATGTAATGTTAATGTTTATACGATTTTCCATATGTTTAAAACCAGTAATATGTAATAATAATTCAAAAATTAACATAAAGATACTTCGTAAAGGGCACTTTAGGGAAAAAAAACGCAAACATTTTATGTCAAATGTTGAAATATGCTTGAAAAATTAAACCATAATTATTTATTAAGATTATTTTGTAAGACGAGCATTAATTTATTTAATATTAATGAATTAAATTAATTACAATAGCTATAATTGAAATACACATCCCTAATTATTAATACTGGCAACAAAAGTTTGACAAGACCTATTAACTCGTTCGTGATTGGCTGACTGATTGTGCGTTTTTGTTACGTCAATAAGTTATTTGACATAAAACACGAATCTACATAACCTAGAACTTATTATTTCATTGTACAAGATTTTAGAAATCAATTTATTAAAATTCATTTTTTTACTTACTTCTTAAACATGTCGCTGGAGAGTAAAAATACTGTGTAACAACAAGAAAAAAACAACAAAATCACCGACAATTTTAAACACCGACGACAGAACTTCACAATACTTGTCAAAATCTAACTACGTTGTGCATCCACCAATAAAATTGTGTTAGAGGTTTCATTGATTGGTTAAATTGTTCAACCAAATATGTGAAACCCACCAACCAACGATTAATAACAGAGTATGGCAACGTGAACTTTTTTTATTGAGTGCACATTTTCAAAATGCTTCCGGAGTATTATTATTTTTTTAAATGCAAGCATTCTGTCATACGTAACATTTTATAACATTTTTTTTGTTTACATTCCAGTCGAAGAAATCATTGTCAGACAACTCTTTAAATTGTTCTAAACTGGCAACAAATTACTACAAGATTTTAATTTTAATTTACGAATTGTCTATGAAAGTCAAATTTAATGTCAATTTAAAAATTAACAATTGAAATTGTATTGATTGTAATAGGCACATGGTTTATTTTTTAAATTCAATTATAAGAAAAACATTATAAGATGTCTAATTTACTAGAAGTTTTAGTAACTAGTGATTCTAATAATACTATGTGGACATGCTGTGTTTGGGATCCTCACAATGGTACAAGTCTGATGACTTACAAGGGTGGTGGAACTGCTGAATTGAAGACACTTTCTTTTATCGACAACGATTACCTTGTTGCTGTTGAGAAAGCTAAACCCATTCTCCACGTTTGGCCATTGAACTCGCATCAAACTGTGCAAGGCATGCGTTTCGTTCTGCCGGGTAAAGCTAATGCCTTCGCTATTACAAAAGATGGATCGTTTTGTGCTGCAGGAATCGACGAGAAGATATATGTTTGGCAAATTGCGTCTGGTAGTTTATTAACAATATTAAATCGACATTACCAGAAGGTGAATTTGATAAAGTTTACAAGTTGCGGCCGGTATTTTGTGTCCGCCGCCGGAGATGGAATGGTAATGGTATGGTCGTTGGCTGCTATCGCCACACACCCTGAAGTGGAGTTGGTCACCCAGACTCATGCTGGCCAACATGACCCAGTTTACATATTTTCAGATCATTCATTACCTGTTATAGATTTTTGTCTTAGCAAAATGGGCATGCTAGGACGTCTATACACAATTTCTAGCGACAGATCTTGCATGATTTATGATCTTACTACTGGAGAAATGTTATTGAATTTAGTATTTGATATACCATTATCAAGTATTGAATTGGATGTGTTGGAGTTAAATGTGTTTATTGGAACTATGAAAGGAGATATTTATCAATTTAGCCTAACAAATCCGGTTAGATATAAGGAGACGTTGGTGACTGACAAAAATAGTCATATTTTTTCTAGTCATAATGATGTGGTAACTTGTTTATCTGTTTCTCTCGATGGTGAAACATTAATGTCAGCATCAAATGATAAACAACTCATTTTATGGCATATAAGAAGTAGACAGCCTATAAGAACAATAATGCATAAAGGCCCAATTACAAATGCTTTCTTTACACTTAATCGCCCAGCAATATACACACAGGATTTTAAGCCTAAAGTTATTTTACATAGCTTAGAACGAACATTAGAAAGAGACAATGATGATATTACAGAGTTGGAAATTTTAGTTGACAAAAAAATCAACTTTTGGCCAGAATATCAAGAAAAAAGTTTGGAAATTGTAGAACCCACAAAGAAAGCAGAAACAGATGTTAACAAAGAAAAGAAATTGCTTAAAGAAGAATTGAATCACCTTAAAAAGATTAATGCGAGTTTGTATGCTTATTCCATTAATAAGGCATTAACTTCTCCAAGTAATGTTGAAAAACCTAAACCTAATAAAAAGAAGATAAGGAAGACATTTAAATCTTAAAATAAATTGTAATTCATATGAGTGTAATTGTTATATATAAACATTGTATATGTTGCAATTATCTAATGTCAAAAATTATTAATTTGCAGCATTTATATCCAGTTAATTATTTTCAGCATTGCTAACTAAGTGAACATAAAGACATTGGATTGATTTGTTTTGTTTTATTTTCCATGCTAATAATTCTTTTGGGAAAATGTTAATGTAGAATGGACTCTTAAGAATAAAATGTTTTTACTTAGTGTCCTTTCAATTTTAAATAATGATTCGACTAAAGTTGTTTTATGCAGGTGAGATAATATCTAGAATAGTCAAATTTCAATCAAATGTAAAAAACAGCACAAAGTTGTCAAATGAGTAAACAAATATCTACTTATCCGCATTATCGTTTTGTAAACCTTTCCAACTTTCCATTATTCTTTGAATAGATTCATTTTGTATCTGTGGCTGTCAGTTCTGCACTTACTTTTATGTTCTGTGCTCAAAGAGAAACTACGTCAAAGAAACGTCACTGATCGTACGATTATAAACTGTAACGCTTTTATTTTTTCGTTTAAATTGTACACCCAGCTATCTTATTAATATATTTTGGTGAAACATGTGCTAAAATTATAAATAATATTCAGTAGTAAGTTACGAATATGAACAAATCTTCATGACCTTTAATATCAAGGTATGATAGCTTTGTATTGAATTGTACAAAAATAAACTTTAGCATTCGTTTGCGTCACAAACAAAAGGATGTATACTATTTTGTTTACCATCAGGTAGATCAAAATGTCGAAGGCAGTGATAATACCGGGATGTAAGGATATTGGACGTATGAAGGAAGAAATATCATTGTCACCGCCCGACAAAAAAGATGGGGCAATTAGCTTGCTCAGTCGACTCTTGCGCTTGGATAATTTGAGTAAACGACAAACTTCGGAAAGCCCTACTTCCAATGAATCTAACACGACATACTATGGAGTCTACATTCCGTGTGAAATCAAAAAAGGTCCAGATGAAGGTATGTTTTGTTTTTAACTTTAAAATGTCCTTTTTAAATGTATTATTTTTTTTAATCAAAGTAATTTGAAGTTTTTTTGTTCTAATTATTGAAATATGCAAATACCTTTGTGAAAACAATGAATAGTCATATTTATTTTTATCATAACTCAAGTACATTGTTATCTTTAAAAAGTAGGTCAAGAAAACTTTCTCTATTCATAAGTATGTTGATATACAAATAAACATTTGGAGGCATTATTAAACATTTAGATTGGGGTTCTTAATGTTAACTCCTGGAATTATTATTTTTTTAGAGAAATGCCAAAGTTTCATAAAAAGAACTTTATTTATTATACAATCTTTAAGCTTTATTATTAATTGTCTAATTTATAATAAGGAGACATATTTTCTCTGTATTCCCGGAATAAAGATATTTCTATGTTGTTCTACCGAGAATTACTTAATTTATTTAAATCGATACATTTAGTTATTGTAAAAATGATAATTGTAGATGAACAAATTGAAAAGCAAAATGTTATATTTGGAAAATCTATTTCCTATACAAAATTCCAATAAGAACCAGAAAAATCAACAAGCTTAAAAAAAAGAATAGAAACTTTAAATAATCCTTACATATTTCACAAAAATATTATATGTTATGCAATAATTATTACAGTAATAATTGATACAGTATATATGATTTTTGTAGCCTAGTCTTAAAAAAATATACATTTAGTAAAATACTATAGAAATGTTCACATAACAAACATATTATTTGTGAGAATACATCTATACAATGAATAACTATTGGAGTGTTTGTATGTAATATTGAAAAAAAAAAACAATATTTCATACATGTCATGTGTTTGCATTTTTTCTTTTATTAGAAGTGTAAAATCTGAGATCTCTGATTACTTTATACCAAATTTCATCGAGATCCATTCTACAATGTAAGAAACAAACTCTAACAAACATCCATCTGTCCATCTAAACTTTCATATTTATAATATTAAGTTGTTACATATGTTCTCTTACAGAAGCTTTACATGTGTATGAAAATAAATCGGAAGCTATGGAGCTGGTTAGAAGATATAAATCGGCAAGGTTCAAGATGTTCAGAAGTCACCAGGATGCGGTATCATTTGCATTGAGAGGTGCAGAACCAACTGAGACACATGAAGGGAACAATTGTAAGTCACATTTACTAGTAATTGAGAGGAACTAATATGTTCACTAAATGGTTGGACCCTATAGGGTCGACATAATTCCGGGTGAATGATAATATGATATAAATTATGGGTCATAATTTCAAGATCAGATGTGAAGTGAAAGTAATTCTAGTCCCTATTCCCTTCCCATCCTCTACATCTAGAGAAGGAATGAGTGGAGGAAATTAATTTTATGGAGAAAGGGATGATTAGGCAGGGTAAATTTCCTCTTATTGTGAATCTGATTTGGTTTTAAAGTGTGAGGTGTCATTGGTTTTTTACTCCAACCAAGTAATTGACTTACTAGCTATTAGCAAAATTAAAAAACAACTAAGTAAGAAATCTTTGTGTTTTTCCAGATTATCTTCTACATCTAAGCCAAATTTCATCAAGATTTATTCAGCAGTTTAGGTTACAAACTCTGACAAACATCCATCCATTTAAACTTTTTCATTTATATTATTAACGAGCTGTAGTTTGCGCCTGCATGAAATGAAAAAAATTAGCCTATATTACTCACTGATAACAGCTTTTAAATGGCAAAAAAGTTTTTCAAAGCAGCCCAATACTTTTTGAGTTATTTCAATACATACAAAAATACAAATCTTTCCTCTTTATAATACTAGTATAGATAAGAGAAAGATATACTTTGTAACATAAAATTAATGATTAGTTAAACAATTTCAGCACTTATGGGAGAGAAGCCTTACCCATTCAAGGCTCCATCTCCTCAGGATATGGTGGCCCTGCGTAAAGCGATAGAAGCAGGGTTGGCTACCACAGTACATGACCGTATATGGGACAACCCTCGCTATCTTGTGAGCAGTGGGAATACACCCGCTATTGTACAGGTTAGTTTTGAAATGTTATAATTTCTGATCGTATTAAACCCATTTTTGTTGATACATTATTCGGAGAGTGCCAAAGAAGTTCTTTTTAGTTACATTCAAAGACATTTAAGAAATGTATAGAGTAGGTATAGTAAACATTTTTTCACTGGCATTTTCTCTGTAAGGTACTATGTCAGTTGTTAAGTTTAGTGCCACCTTATGTCCTTGTATTATTTAATGACACCTATTTGCAATCTATCAATAGATAGTGTGAGAATTTGTGAAAAATATTTCAAGTAAAGTGTCAACTGTACCTACTCTATGTATTTTTTAAACTCTGGTTAATCCAACCTTCCTGTAATCAAGGGTGATTAAAAATGTGTTATTTAATGTTTTTTTAATTAATAAGAATAGGATTGTTTGCTCATTGATGCTATTGTTTTGAACTAGCTTTCGCCCGTGACTCCGTCCGAATGGAATTAAAAAAACAAAACTGACTAGCTTCTGTGTTCTACCAGATTATCCTCTATGTCTAAGCCAAATTTCATCAAAATCTGTTCAGCCATTTATGCTACAAACTTTAACAAACATCTATTCATCCATCTAAATTTTATCATTTATAATATTAGTATGATTCTACTAAAATAAATTCCATAGATCTTATTTTTATACTTGAAAGTATTGTCATTGAAATGACACTGTTTATTCACTGCAGCAGTTCGGACTTATGTTAAAATCAATTATAACAATTTTACAAAAATATTTCCAGGAAGGATCTCGCTACAATGCTCTTCATGTCGCTGCGAAAGCAATGAATGCGGAGATTTGCAACTTGCTGCTCACCACTGTTGGGAATCCCGCCTTCGTGCAGACCTTGTATGGTATGGATGCTGATGCTGATTCTTGTAAGGTTAGTATTCTTTCTTTTTTTATAACCATGATTATTTTTATTATGTACTAGCTTTAGCCCGCAACTCTGAAAAAACAAAAACGTATGTGTTCTTCTATCTATGACAAATTGCATTGATAATGCGTTCAACAGTTTAAGCTACAAACTCTATAAAACATCAATCTAAACTTTCGCGTTTATATTAGTAAGGTGTTTTTAATTGTTAACAAAAAATTTAGTAAACCTCAAATATATTTCATGTAAAAGATCATGTATCTTGATATTATTATTATTATTGTTATTTTGGGTGACACACTCGCAGCTAGTTAGCTGATGCGTGTGTGTTGTATAGTTTTGTTTATTGTTAAATATGTTTTTTTTTTAATATCTTTACATGTTTTGCTATTGGATGTTGACATTTGTACAATTTTAATATAATAATATAAATACTTTCGCTGCCACCGACGTCTTGCGAGTTAAATCTTACTTCTTACTAATATGATAAATGCGATAGTTTAGATGGATGGATGTTAGTTAGAGTTTGTAGCCTAAACAGCTGAACGGATCTCGTTGAAATTTGGTATAGTTGTAGTGTATAGTCTGGAAGAACACATAGGCTACTCACTATTGTTTTTTTTAATTCGAAGGTTAAAGCTGGTTATAAATATTGTTCGATTTGAAGTGTTGAATGTGATTTCAGGAGTTTTCAGCGATTCTAGTGGACCGCTACCTCAACACTCCGGACAAAGCGATGAACGAGACGCCGCTGCACTTCGCGGCCAAGTTCGGCGCGGAGGCGGTGGTCGACGTGTTGACTTCCTTCCCGCAGTGCAATTTAAATGCTGTCAATAAATATGGCGAACAACCTAAAGACGTTAGTATTGTTTTTCATTTTACTGACAATTCTAGTTGTTAATTGGTAATGAATTTGGGAATATTTAAATACTAGCTTTTGCCCGTGGCTCTGTCTGCGTGAAATTAAATAAAGTAGGCTATGTTCTATATTTTTGCCAAAAAATAATCGTAATCCGTTCAGTAGTTTTTGATACAAACTCTAACAAACATTCATCCATTTGAATATTCGTATTTAAAATTTTAGTAAGACTAGCGGATGTCCGCGACTTCGTCAGTGCGGAATAAAGAAAAATGGTTGTCACTTCACTCCAATGTTACTAATTGTATATCTTACTATTATAATAGATGCGAAAGTTTAGATGGATGGATGTATTGACGTTAGAGTTTGTCACATAAACTGCTGAACGGATCTCGATGAAATTTGCCTTAGATGTTTTTGTGGTATATTTATACAAAATTACAAATCTTTCCTCTATATAATATAAGCGTATATCGTAGTTTTTTTATTTTTTATAGGAACTTTGGATCCTTTCCTTATGGAGGGTCGGCACAGTATGTGCTGCTCTTCCATACATCTCTATCAGCCGTCATATCTGAAACCACTCGTTTCTTAAGCATATCCTCTTTCACATAATCCATACTTTCTTCGGTCTTCCTCTTTGTAGCCATCCACATTCATTCTTAACACTTTATGTCAGTCCTATAATGCCTTATATAAATATTGTAGATAATATGTTTGCGGGCGGCGGGGCTGGAGGCGAAGACGGAGGGGGCGGTGGCGGGCCGCATCCGCGCGCTGCTGCGCCCGCGCTACTACGTGCCCGTGCTGCACGCGGAGGACGGCAGCAGGGAGCCCACCATCGGACGACCCTTCTCGCCTGGACTGCACCAGGTACCCTCACACGGGGAGGGGATGGTCCATGTCTATACTAATATATTTAACAGTGGTAGAGCCCGTTTTAACATCTTTTTATGTCAACTTCTATAGATTCATGGTCCATACTCTTTTTTGCACATTTTTTGTTGCGTAATCCTTATAACACTAGTGAGTTCCTTTTTTTAAAAATAAAAAAAAACAATAACATCTTCGTTTTAACATCTTCGCACTGTAAGATCGGCTCGCCCCCAATACCACGACCACAGGACACACAAAAGACTGGCGTCAAGTGGAAGCAATTCTACTTACAGTCTGATGAGTGTGGTGCCTTAGACCTAATTAAAATCCCTTTCTCTTACCACTCTTGTAAGGAAAGGATAGGAAGGAAAAGTGGGTTTGACGGTGGAGGGGACGCATGGGAAGGGGAAATATCATTTTTATGTGTGTCTCCTCCTACGTCGATTAAGGGTAGGCAACGTATCTGCTATTGCGAAGGTCTGGGCTGTGGTCGCTTTACCATTTCGGCTGATTCAGGTGGCCGCTTGCAGACATTATTAGTCTTAATATAAAATTTTAGCCTTCGCCCGCGTGGTATTAAAAAAAATCGAGTAGCCTACACGTGTTTTTTCATACTATCCTCTACATGTGTGTTAAATTTCATTGAGATCTGTTCAGCAGTTTAAGCTATAAAAAATTTAATAAGATATGTTTAACCATTGCAGAATTATCGTGTAAACATTAAAAAACATAATTAATGCATCCCACGGGAACCGTAACTATTTCCGGGATAAAAAGTAGTCTATGTGTTCTTCCAGATTGCGCACTACATCTATGCCAAATTTCATTTAAATACGTTCCTCCGTTTAGGCTACAAACTCTAACATCCATCCATCCATCTAAACTTTCGCATTCATAATATTAGTATGAACATTACACAGGAAATCAACAAGGACCCGTTATCCCCCCGGTACGAGATCCGCGCGTTCGCGGGCCCCATGGCGCCGCGCGACGCCGACAGCTTCCGCCGCAAGTGGAAGACTCCGCCGCGCGCCGGCTTCCGCCTCGCCGACATCTCCAAGGGCCTGGAGACTGTGGGCAGGTACGACCAGATGTCATGACCTCTCATAAAGCACTGTATATTACGGGTAATGGATCTATGTATGTTGGGTTTGATATTGGTAATTTACGACCATACTATTCTGTGAAACTATGAAATATACATGAGTCTAATTTAGGTTATATTTATATTTCATTTTATATAAAACTACCTTTCTCCCGCTACTCCGTCCGCGTGGTATTAAAAAAACAAAAATGAGTAGCCTATGTGTTTCCAGACTATCTACTTCTGTCAAATTTCATCAAGATTCGTTCTACAGTTTAGACTAAAAACTGTAATAAACATCCATCCATCTAAACTTTTGCATTTATAATTAGTAAAAAGGAGAAAATAAGCCTAATAATTAATTCTGAATTATTTCTGTAATAACTAACAAAATGGATGAATCTAATTTATATTATATTAACAGGAATCTAGCCGAGGAAATGAAAGTGAGTTGGAAGGAATACTGGCCTTTTCTAGACACATTCACTGACCTCAGAACTAAAGAAGGACTCACTTTATTAGAAAACTATTTAAAAAGCAAATACGAAGTCGCCTGTTCGATAGTTTACAACGACAGTTGCGCACAATACCAGCATACAGACGAACTCTCTCTATCCGCGATCACATTAAATACCACTCAGAGTCCAGTTAAAGAACTCCTAAGTCCTATCTCAGATTTATGCGCAGCTATGAAAAGTTGCACAATAACAGACAGACCTTCATATTGGAAGAGAACGGATCCAATACGACAAAGACTTTGTCGACAACCGAATTTAAAAATAAATGGTGATATTTCACCCGTTAATCATACTGTTAACCAATTATTATGTATAGAAAGAACTTGTCAAGTGTTCGCGAAAAGGATAGCAGATGCTCTCGTTTTCTCTCTAACAGCGGAACCTGAAGTTGCAAGTGATTCTTTGAAATCGGAAGCAAAACATCTCCAGCATACAATATTTACATATATGGATGATGAGAGATTTAAAACTATTAATTTTGCGTTATTACATTCACGACTTGCACAATTAGTTGTGTTCAAATTGAAGCAGAAGACTAAAGAATTGGACGATGTGAATTTTTTAGTTGAATTTCTAGTGAAACTCCGATGTCCCAATGATGATATATTCAGTTCTGATGATGAGAGAAAGAATTTTTCTTATAGAAGTCGTGTTAAAATGTCGCATGTTATCAACGAGCATGTTCGATGTCTGTCAAGTTTTATATGTGAGGAATTAACGGAGACGGATGAGAGCAAAGGTCCAGCGGTCTCGGAGACGGAATGCTCGGAGATCTGGTCTCGGGCTGGTAAATGCAGATGTGATTGGAATATAGAAGTATTTGAGAGGAACAGCAAGAAGAACGCCTCGTTCAGGAAGAATAGATCCACATTATCGTCTAGTCCGAAGAGTGAAAGCTTCATTCGGAGGTTGATGTTTGATCAGGATATTGGTGAGTTGGTTTTTTTACACTTTCTATATAAATTAACTGTTAAAAGAAAATGGTGACAAGTTAACAACCTAAGAGTTTTAAATTAGGTTGTTATAGATCTCAAGTTACTTGACTCTGTGGGCATAAGACACAAGTTATTACAGCTTACTAGCGCCCTCCTTTCAATGTCAAAAGATGTGTATTTTTTGTGTTATCTTCTAAAATTTGTTATTTAGTAACATGTTTAGGGTAATAGAAATGCAATTGTGTAGCTCTAAATTTAAATAAAATGTATAGCTGCCATTACAAGGGTTGATAATATTTATTTAATTAAATAGACCATTAGTTGGCTGTCAATGTACAGTCGGGGAAAGTGACGGTGTTCCAACTAAAAAACAATCGTTTGAACATTTTGAAATAAGACGCGGAACATAAACAAACACAGCGTATAAATGTATGTACAAAAAAGTCGGTTTGATACATGGATAGTTTATTTTTAATATTATCCCGTTGCTGCTGTGTATTAGTTATTTGTAATAGGCTGAGTGTGTCTCGTTACAATGAAAAAGGCACTTTTTCCTTATAGTAGATCACCGCGGGTTTCCGCGACTGTACATTGTATGGGGTGTCATAGTATGTAGTGGTAAGGTGGTGTTACAGGAGACGGCAAGGCGCGTGTTGGGGGCGCCGGCGGGGGCGGGGGCGGTGGCGGGGGCGCGCACAACTCCCCCGCAGGAGACTACTCGCCCCCGCACTACACCGTGGACGTCTCCAAGTGTCAAGTTGTTGAAGCCGAGGTATACTGCGTAATTATCTTGATCCTATTGACATAACTAATATATGAAATAAGCCTATGTATTCACAGATAAATTATCTTGCTAACGGTGGAAGAATTTTTAAAATTGGCCCAGTAGTTTTTGAGTTATTTCAATACATACACCAATACAAATCTTCCCTCTTTATAATATTAGCGAAAATAACGTTTGATTTGTAATCCTTAATGTTCTCAGCTAAAAAAGATATTGTCAATGCAATAACTTACAGTGAAAAATGTACTTTTGTGTTTTTTGTTTAAATAAGTTCTTTTGGAACTAACATATAAGGCCCGCTATAGTGGGCTTTATATGTTAATAATATGTCAAAATTTTCAGTTATAATATAAATTTTAATTGTAAATTTTGATTGTTCAATTAGAACTGAACTTATTACTAGAGTAAACTGAATGACGTAATTTTTGAAAATCCATATAAATCCAAATTTGATTAAAATATTCGATATTCATGATTTTTTATGTATAACTAATGTATATAGCTTTGGACCGCGACTTCGTCCGCGTGAAATTAAATAAACACAAAAGCGAGTAGCCTATGTGTTCTTCCAGACTATCCTCTACGTTTTACGTCTATGCTAAATTTCATCGAGATCTGTTAAGCCGTTTAGGTTACAAACTCTAACAAACATCCATCCATCTAAACTTTTTTATTTATAATATTAGTAAAATGATAATCAAAGTTAAATGCTTTTAGATATCAGACGACGACTCCGTGGCGTCGTGTCGCTCTGACAGCGAGGAGACGTTCCACACCGCCTCTGATCGTTCTGATGATGAAGAGGAATCTCTGATGGAGGATGCAAGTGACAGAGCACTTGTAGAACCATTTATATACGGGTAATTTCATCTTGTTTCCTTTTATTCTAGGATTTACTCTAGGCTAGGATTGTATGGACTATGTCCCTTAAAAATATCAAAAAGTAAGACGAGCAAATAATTTTATTATGCTTAATTATGGGAAAAAAATGTAGCTATATTAAAACTTTTCAGAACACAACACAGTGTTGCATGTGTCACGTTATTTTATATATAATAAAAAATAAAATAAAGAGCGAAGATTTGTATTTTTGTATGTATTAAAAAAACTCAAAAACTACTAAGCTGATTTCTAAAAAATCTTTTACTAATAAATAGCTATGTTATACCGTGACACATGTGATACGGAAACCTATTTCTTAACCTGAAACACGTGCTTCGAGGGCAAATCAATTATTTTTTGTACTACCCTACCTGTAAACATTTTTCCTCCTGAAAATTGACTTCAGACACAGCCTTGGTGGTAATTTAAAAAAATATTATTGTAGCGAGGAACCAACTAAGATGGACCGCTTAGTGTATGACGCTCTCTCGGAGCTGGAGGTCAGCGAGGAGGAGTTCCCCAACGTGCACCGCTGGCGGCACACCGTCGCGCTCTACTCCCCGCAGGAGAGACAAAAGTGAGTAAAAGATACAGTTAGTAAAACAGATATCTATGATAAATGTTAAAAATGTGCTATTTACTAAATATTCTTCTTACTAATATTATAAATTCAAAAGTTTAGATGGATGTTTGGTAGTTTGTAACCTAGACTACTAAACAGATCTCGATAAATTTGACATAGATGTAGAGGATAGTTTGGAAGGACGTAACAGCTCACTTTTGTTTTAATTCCACGCGGACGGAGTCGCGGGCGCAAGATAGTTTATATTATAATTTGTATGTATGTTTCAGATGGTTGCAATGCGGTGAATGTTGCAACGTGTCGAGCGTGTTGTCGGTGGGGGGCAGCCCGCGCCCCGCCGCCGCCCCCACCCCCACCGCCCCCTGCACTCCGCCCGCCCCCGCCCCCGCCCCCGCCTGCAGCACCCCCGGCAAGCTGCGCGGGGAGGACGCCAGGTCACTCTCACTGCAGGTATCTATCTATACTTCTATACTAATATAATAAAGCGTAAACACAATACTTCGTGGCGTAGGATGTCAGCAATCACAACATATTTCTAAATAATTCTTTCTTTAATAAAAAGCCCTGCACTTACGAAACGCTTTAGGCTATGTATTTTCACACTATTCAACTTAGACGGTAAATAAATTGGAAAAGAACTCTTCGTGTGAGAAAAGGACCATAAATTGCAAGCTGCCAACATATTCTTGAATTTTGACATTTGACAAACGTAAACAATGAGATGAAATTGTTATAATTTAATGCGGATGAAGCCGCACGGAAGCAGCTAGTTTTATTATAATTTGCATTTTATATATACGATATTTTATAAAAGCTATCGTTATATTTCAGGTTTCAAACTGGCTCCGTGTGACGGGACCTAACTCCCCGCGCTGCGCTTCCGCTGCTAAGAAAGTCGGACACAACGTCAGCTTCGGCTTCTGACTGTCTACCCCCTTTTGTATCACCTTGAAGGTAACCCTTGATGGATATTTGCGAAAATTCTCATTTACATTTGTGTTCATAAATTTGTAAAATTATTTGTATGTACCTATTTGATTTTGAAATGTGATTTGATTGCATTAAATTTTTTATATGTAAAGTTTCGTATACGAGACTTTTGTACCTTCAGGAATTTAAAATTTATCATAGTTAGGAGGCATTTTATTTAACGCCTCTTTGCTGACATTTCAAAAATAAATCCATACAAAACTTTCCATTTTTATCCAAATTCTAAAATAATGGCGAATTAAATAATTTGACCTCAACACATTGTATTTCGGTGTAAAAATATTTTTCAACATAAAAGGAATGTGAATATAAGGCCTGTAACGTAATTAATGCAAACTTTGTTCGTATTTTTATTAAAAATTAAATAACTATCATACTGTAATAACTTCTTAATGTAATTAAATCTCAAAGACAGTGAAAGTCAAGTTACTAAGGAAGAAAATATGAAAAACTTTACTTAGTGATTGTACTTACTCATTTTAACTTTATATCCGGTTTACATCATTCCAGTCCAGCGAGACAGCTTTTACTGGAAACATGTAAATCCACACTGGACTGGAATAATGTAAACCGGACAGTATTCAAGATGGCGTCTATTTTACGGCATTTATTTACAATTTACTAACCTCTCAATAAATGTTGATTTCTTTTATGCATGTAAATGGCACTGTTTTAAATATTTTTAACTTGTATTATATTTTATCTAGTCTAATATTTCTTGTAATTTTATTCAAATATGCGACATGTCTAAAATTGGCCGATTTTTTTTCTTCCCTTAAAGCGTCGAAAATAAATATAACAGCGTTTTAAATAAGTATTTGCATTATCTTGATTTTGTGACGTCATCGCTGTTAACAAAAAATAGGTCAGTAATTAATTTAAAAAATGTTTTGTGTAAATCAGGAGTTTTATAGCGATTTTTGGCATATCGAAGTAAAGAGGCACATTTTCGAAACTCCTATAGGTTAACCAAGAATATTAAAACCCTCTCCATATCAAAATATGAAACTAAATTCCTTCACGCACATTAGAAATGACTATAATTTAATAGATTGAAGTGCCTATAGGTTATTTCTATATTCTTGGTTAGTCTATAATTGTACAGCAAGTTGAGTTTCTGCTGTTTCTTACTCTTTCTATACATACCAATGTTCCAGAATGATAATCTCAGTTTTTATGGTTTGTTAAATTTTGTATGAGATTGTTATAAGCATGTTTAGTTACGGTACGATAACTTACAAGTTGTGTATTCTCCATATTTTTAACTTAAACACTCAGTTATTTTCGAAGTTGCATAAAAAATTTATTTAATGGAAACAATGAAAATTTGAAATTAAAGGTGCTATAAGGGCTGGTACCTTAGATAGTAATTTCAGGTTGAATTTTTAACTGTATATTAGTAAATAAAAATTGTTTTAGTGTAGTTTTCACCCAATAATGTATATTTTTCTAGGTTCAAGTGGGACATGTTAATTTTGTTCTATAAAAGATCAATTGCAATGCGTTCATAAGAATTAAGAATGTAATTTTGGTGTTTCCAGTAAAGTGTTCGTACCGTAAGTTTTTTATTTTGCATTTTTAATATTCCACAATGTGACGATTTTCTTGACAATAACACTGCGTTTAGCATTTATAGTTTAAAAAATATATTTTATCTCGTGTCATGTTAAATTTGCCAAAAGTTGATTTGTATGCAACTAGATATGAATGTTTGTACTTTTATATATAAAAATAAAAAAAAAAACAATTGATGATGTAAAGAATTATTTTATTAAAATATTTTTAATTCACTTAAAAATTTAAATAAATAATGACTGGATGAAATTGTTTTATTTTTTAATCCCAAAATATGTCATCGTCGGATGTTTTTGCGTGTGATATCGGTGAGTTTCCAAGATCAGATCTGCTGTTGTAATTATCGACATCTGCTAAGAAATCATCTCCGTCTTTAACTTCGCTGTCAGCTACTATTGAGTCTAAACCATCTTTAGAATCATCTTTATCAGCTGATAATTCTTTCCCTTCCAAATCGAATATAGCATTTAAAACATCTTTTCTCGTCAATCGAGCTGCTTTCTCTGGCGTTTCTTTTAATTTTAAAGGACTTTTAATAGATATTGATGATTTAGAGTTTTTTGAATTTTCAGATTCATTTGTAGGTGTAACAACAACACTGACAGGTGTTATACTGTCGCTGTTATTAGATATTGTCATTTCACTTGCGATAGAAGTTTCAATAACAACCATTAGATCACCTTCGTTCGTTTTAACGCTTGCTTTTTCTATCAAATTCTCTAATTCTACTTTTAATAATGATTTATTTTCTATCTCTTCGTTAATTTCTTTATTTAGACTATTAATTTCATCTCTACAAGGTATGTCATCGTTGGAAAATCCATTTGTTTCGTTCATATTTATATTGTTTATTTCTTCTGTTGTAGATTTTTCTACATTTAAAATACGTTCTGTATTTTCGTTCTTTTCAGGAGATTCCTCTTTTATATTCTGTTCTAACATATTTTTACTTGAAATATTTATTAATTTTAAATCATTTTTATCACGTCTTGGTTTCTCATTATGATATAGTTTTCTAAATTCATTTAAAGGTGTATTAATGTAATCTACATTTTGAATAATTTCTCTTTCGTCAGTCATTTTATATGCGATTGGAATTGGTTTGATTTTAACAGCTGTTGTTGTTTTATTTGCAAAATGCGGTTTCATTATTTCTTTATTTTGGTATTCTTTAAGATATTTATCAAAGTCGTTGTGTAAAAAGTCTTTGGTTACTTTTATATTGACATCATTACAATTTGCGTCATTTTGTTTTTGTACCGTACTCGGCTGACCAACTGAAACTTTACAGAAATAAATCAAATATTATAAAGCGGAAATATTTGCGATTTTTTAACAAATAAACTACAAAACGGATATATTTTTTTTTACTATTAAATAACACTAGATTTTTTTTAATACAGTGTGGATGAATTTGTGAGCAAAAGTTAGTTTTACTAAGAAGGTTAGTAATTAATAAAATTACTACATAATTAAAGATTTTTATCATGTATTTTAGAAGCCCTACATAGTTACATGACTTATGTATTTTACTTACATAAGTGTCCACTTTCCTTTACTACAGGGACACTCTCTTCTACGAACTTATCTTCTCTTCTCATTTCGTTCCTTCTTCTCTTGAAATCCAAGTAAGACTTCTCCACCGCTTCTGCTTCTATCTCCAACTTCCGAAGCCGCAGTTTAGCTTCGCGAAGCATTGAGTTTGGACTTTTTTCTCTTGATGTGTTTGCTTCTTGTTTTTTAATATCTTTACTGTGAATAATAAATAATTAATAATTTCTATATTTTGTAGAAATTTTACCTAATATTCATTTTCATTAATGAACGTAAAAACAAAAACTTACTTTCTCAATTTCTGTTTTGCTTCTCGCAGAACAGACTTCGGACTCTTCTCTCTTCTTTTCCCTTCTATCACTATTTCTGGTGGTTGTTGATCACTACCAATAAAAAAAGATAAAACGATAATTTAACTCAATCTTAATAATTCTTATTAATACTATAAATAGGAAAGTTTGGATGGATGGATGTTAGAGTTTGTAGCTTAAACTGAACGGATCTTGATGAAATTTGGTATAGATGTAGAGGATAGTCTGGAAGAACACATAGGCTACTTACTTTATTTTTTTTTATAAATCTACGCGGATGGATTCGCGGGCGAAAGCTAGTAATATTACTAGCTGTTCCCGTGCGGCTTCATCCGCATGAAAATATAAGAACTTTGTCTTATTATGTATATTCTGTAAAACTATCAATTGCAAATGACAAAATTAAAATTAATGAAGGCATTCGATAACAATTACCGTTACCATGGCAACATTTCTTTGCTGCCATTGGCTTGTAGTTTTTGTCTCTTTCCCGCACTATTGGTTTTTCCAAATTATTTACTCCCTAAGTTTAATAGCGTGAAAATGTATAGCCTAAAGCGTGTCGTAAGTGTAGGGCTTTTTATTAAAGAATTATTCAAACATATGCTGTGATTGCTGACATCTTACGCCACAAAGTAGTGTTTGTTTACGATTTATTATATTAGTATAGAATTAATTCACCTGTCTCTATCATCGGTTAAATGTATGAAAGAGGCACAAGATTGCTCCGCTGCTTGTTCCGTTTGTCGCACATTTATTTCTTCTGCAATATCTGCAATAATAAAATAATTACCTCTTACTAATATTAATGCGAAAGTTTAGATGGATGTTTGTTAAAGTTTGTAACCTAAACTGCTGAACGGATTACAATTAAATTTGGTACAAATGTAGAACATAGTCTGGAAGAACATATAGGCTACTTAGTTTTTTTAATTCCACTTAATATAAGTGTTTCATACAAGTTCGATGTCTAATTAAATCTTGGAAATAGTTACTTTTTTTATTAAACTTTGTAAATTCATTACGAAATAAAAATGTATGGGACTGTCTTAGTTTTGATTTGGTTAGGGAATCGACGCTAAGGGAGTCCCTTAGCGGGCATTTAACGAGAGTGCGTGAGTTAATGTCAGAATGTACTAGGAGTGAATAAATATAGATGTTACGTTGTGTGGAGGAGCCGGGCTGTGGTGCGGGGTGTGCGGGGTGTGCGCGGGGTGCGGGGGGCTCGTGCCGCATCCCGCGCCACTCACTTATCATGTACCTGAAAATATAATACAGTATATATAACAATTTCTGGAAAATAAACATTTATTTTTAACTGATAACTGCTTTTAGACATTAATTTAATTGTAATTCCCGACAGAATGGCGCGCTATTCCAATAAGTCTGGATGACTAATTATTTTACGGCTATTACTTAGGTTTATTTTTTCGGTGGCGGCAAAAAAACGTGAGTAATAGCCGTAAAATAATTACTTATAAAAATGTCGAAAGTTTAAATTACTTGAGTCTGGATGTCATTGACAGCTGTCAGATAGTGATGGGACGTAAGCCATTGATCTAGTGTTGCGCTAATTCAGCGCAGTACTGAATTTCTTCGTAACACTACGACCCCCTTAGTCACAATAGGGGATCGTAACATGAAAACAATGAATTAAGTCAAATACATACCGGCGCGTATCCGCGTGCCTGTCTGCGCGCGTGTGGGGGCGTGTTTGGGGGTGCGTTTGGGGGTGTGTTTGGGGGTGCGTGTGGGGCATCGTGTCCAAGAAGGGTATGGGGTCTGTGGGCAGCAGGGCGCGCGGCGCCGCGAACACGCTCAGCTCCTCGCCGGCGCCGCGCCGCAGCCCGCACGCGCCGCGCGCGCCGCTCGGGTTCACACTGACGTCACACGTGGGGTCTTAGTTACGTTTGGGGGTTCGGACCCCTTGAATATGGGGTTGAGTATAATAACAAAAACACAAACAATACAACATAAAACGTAAGAGATAATGTTGACTATAGTACTTTTTTTCGTTTTTTTTTCAACAAATAGTAAAGTTTAATATTTTTTGCAAGCAACAAGTGCTACAAGCTCTACTCCCTTTATTTCGTGTCATTTTCTTCTCTCTCTGTCCTATATGCTATTTTGTAATCAATTGTATTAATAAATCTATAGATACGTGTGAAACTGAAAAATTATATCGCATTTGAAGTTTGTCATGTTTACAAGAGATTTGAAATGAGAGACACGTTATCTCTTTTTTTTCATTCTACCGCAAGTTGAATTACTCCTCTTCTCACGAAAATGTCGTTTGTGGTAAAAACTCGAAAATTTTGAGATAAATCTTATTAATACAGGTGCGATATTATTACAGTATGTATGTATGTATGTACCCGTGTGGGGGCGCAAGGGGCGGCGCGAGCGGGGGCGCGGTGCGCGGACGCGGGGCGGCGAGGCGCGCGGACACGAGCTCGGCGCGCAGCCGCACTTGCTCGCGAGCAAGCTCGTCGATGTGCTCGCGTTGCTGAACAAGTTATATCAACTATATAACACTATTGTATCTATCATACTAATAATTAGAAATACGAAAGTTTAGATGGAGTTTCTAGCCTAAACGGATTTCGATGAAATTTGGTATAGATATAGAGGATAGTTTGGAAGAACACATAGGCTACTCACTTTTGTTTTTTTTATTCCACACGGACGGAGTCACGGGCAAAAGCTAGTACTAATATAATAAAACGTTAACACATACGTTGTTATGTAGAATGTCAATCACAGTATGTTTTTGAATCATTCTTCTCTTAATAAAGGATTCACACTTACTATACGCTATTGGCTATGACATTTCACGCTATTTCATTTAGGGGGTATATAAATTGGAAAAATCGTCACGCAGGAAAGAGACAAAGACTACTAACTATAACTATAGCCTAATTTAAGTCCCTTTCTCTTTACCACCCTTTTCTCACAAGGAGTGGATGGGAAGGGGAAGTGGATTAACGGCGGAGGAGGTGCATAGGAAGAGGAAATATCCTCTTTATGTGCGTCTCCTGCTCCGTCGGATAAGGGTCGGCAACGCATCTGCAATTGCGGATGTCTATGGCAGCGGTCGCTTCGCCATTTTGGCGGATTCAGGTGGCTGCTTGCTCGTTTGCCACCGTATGATATAAAAAAAAAACAATAGCAGCAATGCAAAATTGCCATAGTAAAGGTTATCCATTTGGAAAGTCTTCGTTTATTAATTTATTTTAAAGTATAGAGAAGTATGTAAAACAAACCTGTTCAGCGAATGCTTTGAGGCGCTCGTTCTCATGTCGTAGTATGGACTCGAGCTGTCTGCCGCGCTCTGCCGAGTCCAGTACAAGCGAACGACCATTATCTACGTCCTCAACATTACTCTGTGGCAAAAAATATTTCCTTGTAAATTATGGTAAAAAGTTTTCATGATTACGTCATTTTTATGCTATCTGAGATCATTTTTATGCTATATCAGCCAGTAGTGGGACAGGCGGTTAATGTTATATATAGATTTAGAGATTTGAAATTCGGTATATACCGTTATTAATTTCGTAGGCAAGTATTAAGAAATATTTTTTAAAAATTCATTATTTATCTATTAATTTTTTTTATAGTCACTAAAAACGCGACTTAAGGCCTGTCCCAACACTGGCTGATAGAGGCTAAGATTGCTTACAATTGACGTCACTTTCAGATAAGATAACAAAATCCGAGGCCAGGCCCTTAGTATATTTTATAATAAACTAGGCTAAGAGTTACACATTATTTGTTATGGAATTTTGTATGGAGGTTTTACCTTCATCGAAATATAAAAAAATTATGAAAACCGCCTAATCTTATTATTATAAATGTGAAAGTTTAGATGGATGGATGTTTGTTAGAGTTTGTAGCCTAAACGGCTTAACAGATTTCGATGAAATTTGACATAGA